CTGTTCTTATTTTTAAGGACATGATGTCTTCTTGAATATTTCTGGGGACAGTAAGTAGGATATTTTTAAGTTCTCATTTGTACTTCCAATAGTTTTTTGAATTTTTTTTTAATGTGTGCGTGGTTATTCTATCTCATGGTTTATCTTGGTCTGTCTCCTTCAAGTTGACTGAGAGATCGTTGGTTGTCTTTTCATATTTAGTCTTTAAACAATTACAAACCAATAAGAACTCTGTGTCTGAAGTTCGAAATGCTGCTGGCCTTTTGCAGCCAGACTGGCTGGATCTTTTAACTGGGAATGATATATTTTTTAGAGAAGAGCTGACAGTCTGGTTCCATCCTCTCCTCTGCTGGACTTTCAATATTTGGCTTTACCACGGGGCAGGTAGAATGTTGGCTTGGTGATTCTGCTCATGGACTCACAACTGATTTTCATTCTCAGGGCCATGCCCCTCCCACTTTCCACCCACTTCTTAGAATTTTCCACCCTGATTGGCTCTAGGTCTTCTGGTCTGTGCCATCCAGGTCTTCTGGCTGTGCCATCTAGGTCTTCTGGTGTGTCCTTGTATCACCCCCCCTTCTTCTATGCACTTGTTGGAATCTTTCTTCCCCTGATATGCCCCTCCCTGCCTGCATCATTCTGTTCATCTGATAGGATTATACCTTTTTTATTCTTCTTCTGGAATGTTCTGTGCCTTGGAAGAAAAGAGAGAAATGCCTGTGTCAGCCCTTTGTCTGTAAAGTAGAGATGATCTCTACATTTGTAAAGCAATTTATAGAATATTTTTACATATATTATTCCATTTGATCTCTCTGACATCTGAGGTCAGCAGGGCAGTGGTTGCTCTATCCATCTTACAGATAAAGCAGCTGAGTCTCGGGGAGATTGGATGACTTGCCCGAGGTCACATTGCAATTTGGGGAAGGAGCCAAAAGTCAAGAGGCTGGGTATACAGGTGTCATCTTTGGTCCAGGATTTGACACTGGTGTGGCAGCTCCCTGCAAGAAGGAGGGTTTTTTTGTTTGCTGCTGTATTTCCAGTTCCTGCCCATATGGAGATATTCACAAATGGAGATTTGGTTTGAACTCAGACGTATCAATTCATTTATTAATTTGTTGGTATACTCAACAAATATTTACCATGCATCTACTGTTTGCCTGAGCCTGGACTTACAGTGGTGAACTCAGGCATGATCCCCTCTCTACATGATATTTACTACCTATTGGGAAAGATGAGGAGTGACAACAGAATTGTGGGTTTTACAAAAGTAGAAAGTACTGGGGGTTATGTGTGTTTAACAATAATGATAGTTTATACCTCTTGGACACTTTCTGTGCATCTAGTCCTTTATTGCTTCATCTCATTTAACAAGTTTTAACAAGTCTTGGAGGGCAAGAGACTATTATTATGCCCATTTTATAGATGAGAAAACTGAGGCTCAGACAGGTTAAACAACCTGCCTGAGTTTCCATAGTTAGAGCTGTCTGAACTCAATCTTATACTCAAGTCCCTCTGGCTCCAGAGTTCATGTACTTCCTGTCCTAGATAGTGTTTACCACAATCATCCCTCCTCCACCAGCTGTGTATTCTCCTCATAGGTGAGGCTTGCTGTGTTTGGAGACAACTGTTACTACTTCTAATTAAACACAGAGTGAAGCCATTTTTAGTTTAGTTTTTTTGTTTTTAACAGTTAAGTGGATTAAATACCTTTTTTGAAATGATGGACCTCTTGGGAAACTTCATGTTCTCCCCCAAGAAAGGCACATGGGTGGATAGGCTTGGGTTTTGCCTATAATTCAGAGGATTTATGGACTCCCTTAAGCCCTTCAGTGGACCCCAGGTTAAAAGCCACAGTGATAGTAGTTTCCTAGTAGCAGTTGTCTCTTGGAGGCTGGTTATGTCTCCATTCACCATCATGCCAGCACAGCATCCTTTCAGGGGCCCCTTTCTGCATCAGGGGACAAGACCAGCCAGCTTCTTAGTGGTCCACAACCAGCAGGTGACCCTGTGCTGCTACAGAATGCCTGGCCTGGGCTGGGGACTGTGTATGATCCAGAGAGAAAAGTCATGGTCTTGCCTTTAAGGAATATATGATATGTCTGCATTTCCCAATACTTCTGTGGAATTCCAGTCTTATGAACTGCTCAATGGAAAAAGATTCCGTGATCCAGTACTTTTGGGAAGTGATTTAGATGATACCTCTTTCTTGGAAATGCACAATATATGACAACATATTAAAGGATCTGAGAAGTCTTTCGGTAAAGAAAAGCATTTATCTTTATTTAACTCAGCTTTCCTCAAATATATATGACCATAGGTTTCCCCCTTTAAAAAAAAACCCTGCCATTTTGTAGCAGTTTCATGTGGCTTACATTGTATTGAGTTAGGGTTCCATGGAATAAATTTGGGAAACACAGATATACTCATACAGATTTTTCTGTTTCTCACTTGCTGCTCCCTACACCTCATTGCTAAAAGGCTTTACACACAAGGAAATATAGAAAAGTACCAACAGAGTGATGATAGTAAAAATAATCTTTTTTTTTTTTTGAGACAGAGTCTTACTACATTGCCCTCGATAGAGTGCTGTAGCATCACAGCTCACAGCAACCTCAAACTCTTGGGCTTAAGTGATTCTTCTATCTCAGCTTCCCAAGTAGCTGGGACTACAGATGCCTGCCACAATGCCCAGCTATTTTTTGGTTACAGTTGTCATTGCTGTCTAGCAGGCCCAGGCTGGGCTCAAACTCACCAGCTTTGGTGCATGTGGCTGGCACCCTACCCACTGAACTACAGGCGTCACCCTAAACACATTTTTTTTTTTTTTGTAAAAATAATCTTAATGAGCAGGTGAGGGTAATGATTAGCTCCACATTACAGATAAGGAGACTGAGGCTCAGAAATGACTTGTCTGTGGTGACACAGGCTGAAAGTAACATAGCCAAGCTCAGGTACTTAGCTACCTGTGTTTCCCATGCTCTTTAAAAACATGATCTGGGGGGGGGGAATATAGGCCATTCTGATGGCCCAGGATCTGGGTTTTCCTTGCCACTTAGGCTGTTCTTAGAGGGTGGAGCCTGGGTCCTGGGACCTTGCCAGGACTTGGTACTTCTAACAGCTCGTGCTGTAGGCAGCTACTGGCCCATTGTTGGTCCTGGGCCTCCGGTCCAAGGGAGCCCGCTGGTCTCCCTGAGGTAGTTTAACCAGAATGAAAGAGTGTGTGGCTGAGAGTCTTGGGGAGCAGAGTTCAGGGCCTGAATGCACCCGCCCAGCCCTGATGGAGAGCCACCACCTGTGTGACTCCCAGAAGTGCATAGATCCTTGTCGAAGGTCTAGGCCTCACCAGGAGGGCACATTTATGTGATTTGTCTTGTGATCCTTCCCCTAAGGAGCAGGGAGTGCTGGCTGTTCTTGGGGGATCCCCCTGTATCTTTCTGGATCTCACAACTTCCACTAGGCCAGGGCCCCATGGGGATCCCCAAAGGCTGAAATATTAGAGAATTCTGGGCATTTCTGCATAACAGGAGAATCACCCTCAAAAGCAAGGACAAGTGAAAGCAGGAAGGAATTGGGTAGAACTAAGGAAGAATTTCTGACTAAAATGGGGACAAAGTAACCAAGGATGCCTCAAGGGGACAGGTAACAGAAAAGCAGGTCTGTGACAGAGAGGCCTGGGACTGTGGATATGGCCCTGACGTTAGACACTACTGAAAAGAGGAAAGGAACCAGTGAGGAGGGGGAGAGGTGGCTGTTTGGGGTTAATTTACACAAGGATCTCAGACTGGGAGAGACACACACACAGAGGGAGGATGCCATGTGATAACAGAGGAGGCAGAGAGGAGAGTGATGGGGCTCACCCAGAACATCAGAAACCAAAAACAATAAAGGATCTCATATCAGTTGGTGTTTATGGGATTCTGTATCTTTGATTTGGCTCATTCATTAAATAAATATTTATCAAGCGTCTTTATTTTGCTAGGCACTGTCTTAGAAGCCGGGGAACACATCATCAAAGCAATTACAATTATGCTTCATTATAAATATGTAAATGTAAATTTATAAACTAAAAACTAGTGCTTTTTGGGGGTTTCAGCCAAAGGGAGAGCCCTCTGTGATTGGACACTCCCTTTCCTGACTATGCATTAGAACATTAGGATGCTGAGATGCTTACAAGCTAAGTCACACAGAGCCTGGCAGAGGGTCGCTTGAAGAAAGAGGCATGTCTCAGGCTTCTCGTCTCTTCCTTTCTGTCATGTGGAAACTATGATCTGCCCTTGAAATGGGAGAAAGACAAGCCTGTCCCCTGGCCATAAGCCCTGCTGTGTGCCGGGCACAGTGTGGGTGTCTGACACGCGTCCTCCCAGGACAGCAGTCTGACTTGTTTATAGACAGATGTTCCCAAGAGAACTATGCAGACCCTTGCGGGTGGACGTGTGAGGAGAAATGTTTCACACTGTTCCCAGGATATCTTTTAGACAGACATGGAAATGAAAGCATGAAGCAAGGTCCCTAGAAATGGAAGGCATGCTGTGCAGGGCTGCCTGAGGCAGTGCTGGGGTCAGCCCGGAGGCAGAAGTGAGGGATGGTAGGGGCAAGAGCCTCGATGAGGTTTGCAGGGTAAGCAGGGGAGACAGGTTTAGGGACTGCCCTTAGGTGTCCAACACCAGGCCCTGGGATGATTAGGCTATGGGATGGTGGCCTGCTGATGAAGGGGGCAGGAGCTGGTTGAGGGTGTGGGCTGAATGGGTTGGTTTGTGCATGAAAGGCCCACTTAAAGTGGAGTTGTTTGCTATCTTTCAGCCAAAGGGAGAGCCCTCTGTGATTAGCAAGGAATTAGGAAGGTTCCAGGTACCAGAGTGTCAAGAATATAGAAAACAAGAAAATATCGTTAACGTCAAAGGCCAGGACTTGGCCATGGGAGAGGAGGAAGGGAATTTGGGGGAATGACTGCTTTGTCCTGCCCTACCCATGCACTCACTCTTCTGTCCTCCCCTCCCCAGGGTGAAGCAGTCGGAACTGTTTGACAGGTGGAAGAGCCTCCAGATGTGCAAATGGGCGATGAACATCTCTGAGGCCAACCAGTTCAAGTATCTATGATTTATCTGTCCTCTCTCCTCCTTGTGTGACTCTCCTTCCAGGCTCTCTGGTCTCTGTCATCCTGCGAGGCCCACCTCTTGGTGGGCATCTGGGGACCCATCTCTACAGTCCTGTGCATGCATGATACTATGTTAGTGCAGGTAGACTTCATTTTATGGAATTGAGATGATCCTGGCAATTTGTGTAACTGCTGGATTTTGGTAACTCAGGTCCAAGTTTAAATGTACTGAGGAACTGTGAATATGAGGGAATTCTACTCGGGAGGTTGTGGAAAGTAAATATGACTGAGCATTTTGTGTTTCCTTTGTAAGTCATTTGTTTCAGTTTGCTGTAGTTCAAGGCCAAGTCTAGAGGCAGAGTAGTAATTTTAAGGGGCCCATTTTTAGAAATGTGAAGTCCCCATAAGAGATAAAGTCATAAAAAAATAATTTGTGTAGCTTTCCTAGTGTGGGCAAGCTGGAGTCACAGGATTACAGGGGATTAGAGGCAGAAGAGACAACCCTGCACTTTACATATAAGGAAACTGGGACTGGGAGAGGGAGAGAACTTTCTGTAGCCCCACAGCTGCTGGGGGCAGAGAAGAAACTGCAGTCTAACAAGAAACTACAAGCTTCTTGACACCAGATTAGAAACCCAGCTTTTGAGAAAGTTCCTCCTCATTCTTTGTTAGTGGTCATTGCATGGTTCCAAGGAGGAGAAGTTGTTCCATTCCTCTCTTAGGGCCAGCTGGACACTGGATGTGACAGTGCCTGGAGCCAGTGGGAGGGACAGTGACCAGTTTATGCTCAGGCCACTGCTGCTATATTTGGAGGAAGTGATCCTTGTGGGCTCAAAGCTGCTGACACAAAGAGGGTGGTGATTTGTGCCCTCTGTTGATTCCTGGCCAGGGCAGAGGGCTTTGGGTCCCTAGGGCAGTGGAAGCAAGTTGTGCCCAGGATCTGACCCTGTCACGGAGCCTTGCAGGCACTCCTCAAAGGATGCACTGCCAAGGTGGAACACAGCTGCAGAGAAGAGAAAAAACCAGGCTGCTCTGGGCTGGCTGCCTCCCAAGCCTGCCTCATCAGTCACACTGTCCCTTAGAGGTTGTTTTTGTTTTAATGCCTGCATCTGAGGTTTAACCCTTCTGTAGCTCATGTTTGAATATTTTTATGTTAAAAATCATAGGGATACACACACACACATAGAGGGTGCCAATGAATGTATACGTATTTTAAGTGATGTTCTCTATGTATTACCTTTCGCAGTTGAGTTGAAGGTACCATTACTGCTCAAGCATACCTAGACATGCTGTGCACATGCATTTTACCTGCAATTCATATACTTTTGGGGAATGCTCAGTTTTAGTTCCAATAAGATCTCCTAAAATGTGTTTACATTTTTTGGCACTGCCTGGTTATATATATATAAATAATCAACTCCCCCAAATGTCTTCTTTTGGAAGTCAGGCTCTCCTTTCCATAGGAAACCAGCCAGTATCAACCTACTATCTCAATTTCTGGCCCTCCCTATTCCTAAATCAGTTTCTAAACGATTGCAATTGTACATTTCTGTTGACCTTGTGTGTCTTGGCTTGGTGACCCCACCAGACAAGATAAGCAAGCACCTTGTGTAGAATCTGACACGGGGCTGAGAATCTAAGGCAGAGCCCTGCCACCCCTGGGTTTTCATTTGGGGCTGGATAAATGAAGCAGAAATAGTGTGTTTGTGGGGAGTAGTAAAATGTTTGAGGATCTTGGTGAAAGCTCTCATGGGGAATGGCAAATCCTACCAATGGTGGGCTCCTATCTGCCAGTGGAACTAACATGGAGAGGGCTTTGGCAGCATCCTGGCCATCCAGGGCTGTCATTCACTCATGAGAGGAAGTGTGGTCAGTGGGGATGGGGGACCTGGGGGGTTCCTGGAGAGAAACCTGTCCTGGGCCCTGAGGGGGCAGTATCAGGTGAGGCAGGAGGCCTGGGCCTCAGGAGGGGAGTTGAAGAGGGAGGGGACACAGGTGTGGTGGAGGGGAAGACCTGGGGATGGGCGGGCAAGGCTGCAGCTCTTCCATCCCTCTGTTCTTCATGCGGTCTTGCTCTACTCTGCATCACAGTCCCTCCTACATGTCTCCCTGCTTGGCAGGTCCACTTTGTCCAGGTGCTGCAACGCCCCTGCCTTTCTCTTCACCACCCAGAAGAACACTCCCCTGGGGACGAAGCTCAAGTATGAGGTGGACACGAGCGGCATCTACCACATCAACCAGGAGATCTTCCGCATGTTTCCCAAGGTGCTGCTGTGGGCGAGGGGTGGGAGGTCTGGGTGCACCACTCATGCTCTCCCCCTTCACCCACTTGTCTTGATCCTGGCTGGCCAATTGTCTTAGGCCTGGTAGGCCTCTGGGTTCCCTTGGGGGCTCTATCTGGATCCGGTGAATGCCAACTGGCTATTACTGAAGTAACTTATGGCACGAAAATGGTTATAAAGTTCCGGGTACTTGCATTGCTTGCAGAGGGCATCCTGCAGCTATCTGGGAGAATGATTAAGTTTTCATGCATGCAAATGTTGTGTGCACAAGAAAGTACAACCTGATACAAATCAAGGCACTGAAAGATCTGGAGCATGTGGATGACCTAGGGCAGTAATTTTGTCTTTCAAAGCCTCAGTTTCCTTGTGTGCAACCCTGGGGTTTGGATGAGCAATAGGTTTGGCTGCTTCTAACAGAGTATCTGAAATATCAGACACTTAAACAACATAGGCATTCATTTTTTTCCTTTCACATAAAAGAATTCTAGAAGTAGGCTGTTCAGGGCTAGAATGGTGGCTCCCTGGTTGTGGGGCACCACAGAATGAACGATTCACAGATGTAAACTCTTCAGATCACAGACTCTTGGCACCTGCACTCACTTGGGCTGACCAGTGGCTCAGATTCACTGCTCCACTCTCAGAGACGGGGCCCTGGACCCTGCACTGTCAGTTGATTCTGACAGGTACCCGGTGCAGTGGTGGCGCCACCTCTGAAGAGGAGGAAGTTTGCATAAGCATGTTCATAACTAGAGCTTACAGAGCTCTGGGCCCAGGGCAGCACTTAGTGGGCCCAATGATGAGTGGTGGCATGTGCAGGTCTTTCTGGAAGAAATATGAGGGCTTACACTGCCCTGCTTATTGAGGGCATTCTGGCAAACAGAGCCCGTAGTGTCCCTGTGTTGTTACTGGTACTAGAGTGCACGGCTAAGATGCACGCATTCTGGGGGCATAGGAGAATTGCTGAAGGTGAGAGGTGTCAACTGTCTTCTTCTCCCTCACAGTGGTAGAGGAGGGTGGCATTGAGCCACCTTTACGAGGTAGGTTTCTCAAGGCCTGAAACATGAGGCTGGTAACACCAGTGGGTACAGTGCAGCCAGATGCAAGGAGAGCCAGCGGTAGGGACTGCCAAGGCCCATGAACACAGAGCAGAGGTCACCAAACATTCTCTGGAAAGAGCCAGATAGTAATTGTTTTAGGCTCTGTGGGTCACATAATCTCTGTCACTACTACTCACCTCTACTGCAGCACAAAACAGCTACAGATTAACTCGCGTGAGCAAACAAGAGCGGCTATGTACCATACTTTCACATGTCACAAAATATTCTTCTCTGGGTTGTTTCCAATCATTTAAAAATATAAAATCCATTCTTACTTTGTGGGCCATAAAAAAAATAATGAGTAGACCAGAGATAGCCCATTTACTGTAGTTTGCTGGCCCCTGAATTAGGGCATGTGACACAGAATAGCATTTCTGGAACTTCCTGAAGTATTTTTTGGGGTTTGGAAAAAACTCAGCTTCCCGACCTCTTTTCCCTACCATAGAGATTCTGATTTCAGGATGCTAAGATAGAGTCCAGAAGTTTATATTTTCGGAAAGTATCCCATGTATTTCTTGATTTACGGAAGTTTGGGAAACACCCATATAGAGCATATTAAGCCTTTGGTGATTTTTCAAAAGATGACTTTATTTTCCCTTCTATGGTAAGAGTCAAACAGTGCACTTCCCCCACTGGCTGTGAGACGCCCTTGCTTTTCCTGCGCTGCCCCCCTGAGCCTGTCCCTCCAGGAAAAGTGGGCCAGGAATAAGACCTCCTTTACATTTTTCCTGATGATCCCAGTGCAGTGTGGTTCTCCGGGAGACCCTGCTTGGCACCTGGCTCCTCTCATTCAGGGTCTCCCGGAGAACCACCCAGCAGGTATCTGGGTGCCAAAGATGGGAGGGACCTTTGGGTCCCTTCTAACAGTAACAAGTCTTTTGACTTCCCTTCTCCTTTTAAAAATGGAAACCACTTTTCTCCCACATTCCCTGCAAGGCTGTCTCACGGGGCCATGAGCTAGCTCATAGTGGTAGACGTGGTTGCAGAGTGCCAGACGACAGCAGGGGTGGCCTTGGCTCTGACTGCTGGGCCTGTGTCTCCCCCAGGACATGCCTTACTACCGGTCCCAGTTTAAGAAGTGTGCAGTGGTTGGCAACGGAGGCATCCTAAAGAACAGCCGCTGTGGGAGAGAGATCAACAGTGCCGACTTTGTCTTCCGGTAAGAATGCACCTGCCCCCATGAACCCTCCAGCCCTCCTCCTCTGCGCTCTCCCGCCATGTGTGGCCCCACCTCCCAGTGCCCAACGCTACCCTTCAAGCAATTAATCCCTGCTCCCCACCCCTGCAGACCCTCATGCTCTGGGCTATCACTTCCTCTCACCAGCCCCATCCTTTTGGGAAGTCTTTGAACTCTGTCCTCAGTTTCCACATCTGCACAATGTGAGGTATGTAAAGAATGAGGCACAACCAATGTGAAGTCGCTGAGGACTCAGGACATGCAGAGCTGTCAGTGACGTTTTCTGGGTGGCCATCTCCCAGGGTGTGTGCCACCCTTCCAGAAGCTCTGGTTGGAACCAAGGCAACCTTACAGTGGACACCAGTATTGGCTTCACCTTGGCTTTAACTAAGTCCTTGTATTTCTTCTTCCTTATGTGGAATCCCCAACCCCCTTATCGCTCTGGAGATCCTCATTTACATCTTTCCTGGGTAAAGAAGATACATTAACAGTAAGAACTTAAAGTGGAAAAACTTGAGTTGAGGCTGCAGGACTGTCTCACGGGTCATATACACAGAATAACTGGGCCACTCAGAGTTGGTGGCAGGAAGGCAGAGTAGGTTCAGTGTTACTAGACGTCCTAAAATAAAGGTGGCTCCTGCATATTTAGGGTTCAAGGCTATGCAGCCCCAGCTTTTCATCACTTGCTATCAGGGGTCATCTTTCTCTGCTCCTGGGAGTCAGTCTGCACACTCCTTGTGGACAACAGTTGAGTTCAGGATCAGGAGTTATGGTTCCTCCTACATTGCAGCCACTGGCCCTCACTGAGTCCTTAGCCCAACACCATTCCTGCCATAGGAGGCAGGAAAACCCACCTCTTTAAAGAGCCCAGGTCTCTGGGGTCTCCCTGAACTTCAGTCCAGGCTGTACCATTGCTAGGCATGTGACCTCAGGAAAGCTATCTTGCTCCTTTGGGCCTTAGTTTCCTCATCTGCAAAATGGAGGATAATTATGGCAGCTTCCTCAGAGTTTGGGGATTAAGTAATGTAATACTTTAAAGTTCTTAGTACCTGCAGCACTGGACATATACACCATTAGTGCCTAATAAGTGTCAGCCACTGCTATTTTCAGGCCCTGCCCTCTCTGCCTGGAATGCTCTCTACCTGGTACCCAGCCCTTGCCTTCTTGCTTTGCCAACTCCCACTTGTCCTTCCAAGCTTCATCCAGGAATTACTTCTCCCTGGCTACCACATACAAAAGTATGAAACAAAACAATAAAATGAGTTTCTCTAAATCAACCACTTGATTTAAGAAACTAAAATGTTCCTAGTCTACCTCTGTTTCCCCCCTAAAGGTCATGACTATCCTAAATTTTATACTTCATCATTCTTTCATTGTTAAAAATTGTTTATCACATGTAGATGTATACCTAAACAATTTATTGTTAAATTTTGGTTACTTGGGGTTACTTGATTAGTTTCCTATGACGATTGTAACAAATTATCACAAATTAGTGGCTTAAAACAACACAAAGTTTATTATCTGATGGAAGTATCACTGGGCTAAAATCAAGGTGTCTGCAGAGCTGCATTCCTTTGGGGGGCTCTAGGGGAGACATCTGGAAGCTGTCTGCATTCCTTGGCTTATGGCCCCTTCAAAGCCAGTGGCATAGCATCTTTCAGTCTTTCTCTAACTCCATTCTATTATCATATCTTTTCTTTTCTCTCCTTCTTGTCATATCACCTCTTACAAGATCCTTAACCTAATCGCAGGTGCAGAGTCCCTGCTGCCACATATAGAGCATAGTCACAGGTTCTGGGGATTAGGTTGTGGACATCTTTGGGAGCCATTACTTTCCCTGCCACAACCACAGAGATTTCCACACATGGTATTTGGCATGCACACTTGTGCCATTAGCTTTTTCACTCAATGCATATTTCACTTCCAAGATTCATCTTTGAGTATGCCCCACGTTTATTTAAGTCCTTCTCCTGCCAAAGGACTTTTGCTCACTTCCTCTTTTAGACCTCAGCTCAAACATCGCTTCCTTGGGGAAGTCTTGATTCTCCAGATAAAGGGATGCTGCTTTCCTGGCATCTGTTGTCCTAGAGCCCTGATCCCATGCTCTGGCAGTCCAGGGGCTACTCAGGCTTGTAACTGCATACAATGATTGTGGTTTTCCTGTCCCCATGACTGGAACTGCAGTGAGACCAGTGGCTGGGCTGTTTGCTGTCTCTATGCCTGACAGAGAGCAGAAGGCCCACTGTTTTATTACCCGACCATGGAGACGGCCATCCCATCCTTCCCCCTTCCCCAGTTCACCTGTCAAATGACTGACCATCAGCTGTCGGGCTGCCTTGTCTCTTCCACAGGTGCAACCTGCCCCCCATCTCAGAGAAGTATACCATGGACGTGGGGGTGAAGACAGATGTGGTCACCGTGAACCCCAGCATCATCACTGAGAGGTCAGTGGCCCTTTTTCTAGAACTGTGCTCTCCAATATGGTGCTGTCCAGCATGCAGCTATTGGAGGTGTGGCTTGTCCAGGCTGAGAGGTGCCAGGTATATGTATAAAACACACAGCAGGTTCCGAAGACGTAATATGAAAAAAGTATGTAGCATGTCTCATTATTTTTTTTATATTAATTACATGTTGAAATGATAGTATTTTCCATATAGTAAATTAAATAAAATATAGGATTTAACTTCTCTTACATCTTTCTACTTCTCAAAATGTGCTTACTAGAACATTCAACATTATCCATGTGGCCTGCATTATTTCTCTCCACAGCACTGGTCTAGACTACCTTCCCCTAGAGATGGGTGGGAGAGCCTTTCTGCATATGACAGGGCAGGTGGCTCCCTTCCTGGCTGTGTCCAGGTGGCTCTGGGTAGAAGCTTCGGCAAAAATCTCAACACCTCACCTGGCTCCCATCTCAGGATCCTATCCTGGGACATTTTAGGAGAGGTGTTGAGATCCCAACACTGGGCATAGTAACATCGTCGGTGTCAGAGGAAGGGTGAGAGGAGGGATGGGTGTGAGATGGGGAGGTGTGAAATTGGATCCGATGCCCTGGGAACACCTCATTAAGGTGGGGGACAAGGGCAGCAGCGGTGTGAAGGAGCGCTCAGTGGAGTGCGAGCCCAAGAGGGAAGGCTGCTTCAGGCAGAGAGATTTCACAAGCTTAGAGACAGCTGCTAGGGTAGAGGGGACTGAGCCAGCACAGGCTGCAGCCTTTGGAGGCCAATCCTGAGCTCTTGGGGAAGACAGTACAGGTGCGGGATGTGAGGCTTCCAGGCCAAGCCTCTTCCCCCAGCTAGCCCTCCCCGGGGCCACCCTCATCCTTTAGCGTTCAGCATTGCCACCCCGCTGCAGCCACATATTTGATATTTGTCCCTTTGAGTAAGTCCCAGTTGCCCTCGCTTGCACCCACTGGTAAAAACACAACTGTCCCTGAGAAAGGTCTCACCTTCATCTGCTCAAGCACATGAGGTGCGAGCAGGCAGGGTGGGCTTAACAGTCCCCCACATGCTTTGTAAAGCCCCAGGGTGTAGGAGTGGGGAAGCGAGGGGCGCGGGGGCACGGAGGGGTGGGCGCCGACCCTCTCACTCTGGCATCCCCGGTGCAGGTTCCACAAGCTGGAGAAGTGGCGGCGGCCGTTCTACCGCGTGCTGCAGGTGTACGAGAACGCGTCGGTGCTGCTGCCGGCCTTCTACAACACGCGCAACACGGACGTGTCCATCCGCGTCAAGTACGTGCTGGACGACTTCGAGTCCCCGCAGGCGGTCTACTACTTCCACCCCCAGTACCTGGTCAACGTGTCACGCTACTGGCTGAGCCTGGGGGTGCGCGCCAAGCGCATCAGCACCGGCCTCATCCTGGCCACCGCGGCGCTTGAGCTCTGCGAGGAGGTGCACCTGTTTGGCTTCTGGGCCTTCCCCATGAACCCGTCGGGCCTCTACATCACCCACCACTATTACGACAACGTGAAGCCACGGCCCGGGTTCCACGCCATGCCCTCGGAGATCTTCACCTTCCTCCACCTGCACAGCCGCGGCATCCTCCGCGTGCACACGGGCACCTGCAACTGCTGCTGATGCCCCGCCAGGCTGTCGGGCAAACGGGGTCTGGTATGGTGACTGTCACCCTTCAGTAGTTCCACTTTGTGCGTGGGTCCCAGGGCAGGGAGGCTAGGACAGGGGCCTTGGGCAGGGTCAGCTCTGTGCTCGGCCTCCTGGACCTGGCCTTCGCCCTGTGCCTCCACCTGCCCGGGGCTAGCATGCTGCTGGGCCTCGCCCCAAGATTGGAGGCTGTGGGGATTACAAGGAAAGAAAAGCACATGCCACCCAGTGTTGTCATCCGAGAGAGCACAAACTGTAGTCCCTCGTTGGAGCTACAGGAAGCCCTCCAGAGACAGGAATTGAGGGAGAACACAGGACATGCGACAGGACACTTGAGCACAATCAAAATTTCACTCAGACTTGTGGGATCCTGAGATTTATATTCAGGACTTAGCTCTGAATTGCTATCTAGAATCTCAGAGCTTAGAGGCCAAGCCAGCGGCCAGAACTTCCAGGAAGGAAGATATGTCTCAGAGAGGTCCAGGAACGTACCAGATAAGCCACATCACCCAGCATATTTATAAGGTGACACTGAGCCCAAGGCAAGGCCTGTGTTAGGGGGTCTGCTGAGGACCCCTCAACCTTTCAAACACATCCTCAGACACACACACAGTCTTGGTGCCTCCAGGTTCAATCCTGAGCTTGATCTTTTGATGAGAAGGAAATAAACCAGACCAGCCATTTGCACTACAGTTTCTAAGCCAGTGTTATCGACTTGATAAGTGCTTAGCAATTTGCTTCCTCTTCTGTCTCTCTATTTTCAGCTCCATTTAAACCGGGAGTTATTTATAAAGATCTGTTCCTTTTATGTTTCTGAATACTGCAGAATCCTGCTGTATCGTGTTCCTCAGTTGGAACCATAAGGCTCTGGGCTGGAAAGTGCTACGTGTCACGCAGAGAGCCTAGTGAATGGGAGCACGTCGTGACCTTTGACACCAGCATCAGTTTCGCTGTGAAGGCAGGATTTCCCACGTGCCCGCCTGGGGCCTTCACACACAAGGACTCCCAAGGCCTTGGGGAAGTCAGCTGGCGCTAGGCTGAGAGGGGTTGACAAGTCATTTCACATCTGCAATTTATTCCCTTTGCTTCTCCCTGTGGTTTTCATGCCATTAATGCAACTGTATCTAAGTGACACTGTTGGTGAATTGCCTCAGGACTTAGCTTTGTGGAATCATAGGCTATTAGTGCTCGGAGGACTTCAACCCCCCTGCCTGGCCTCTTCTCTCCCTCCTTCCTTCCCTCTTTTCCTCTCTCCCTTCTTTCTCCTCTTCGTTCTTCCCTCCCTCCCTTAAACATTTCTGGAAAGCTTCTTCTTTGGTCTGTGGTTGGGCTTAGGAAGACAAGATGACAAAGAAAGGCATTGTCTTTGTGTCTGGGGTGGAGGGTGGACCATAGACCCACCCAGTCCCACCTGCTGGGTACTTTGAATATAGCAGGGAGCAGAACCTTTCATCTGATCACTTCATTTTACAGGCAGAGCCACGGGCTGCTGAGAGGCAAAGGGGAGCACAGACTCTGTCCCCGGCCTCCAGGTGCCTTTTCCAGGGCTTCTTTCTTGGTCGGACCTTTCTGGCTTGTGTTTCCTGCTGGTAGGTTGCTGTGGAGCCTGTATGTCTGCACAGCACTGTCCTAGGTGCTGACTCTCACCTGCACCCTGAGCTCCAGTCCTGACTGGAAAAACCTCAGGCTGCTCTGAGCCCTGGTCAGCTGGTCTGTAAAGTAGGAGAGTAGCCAAGAAGAGCGAGTGGGCCCAAACATGTGGTAGACCAGGAAAGATGATACCAGGACAGGGGGTGGCGGTTGCTTTCTTGAGTTCTGCATGTTTCTCCCAAGGAAGGAACTTCTGGGAAAGATTCCAGTTAACTTAGATTTCTAGCCACTGTTCGTGGTTAATGGAACCCAGTGTTTGAAACCTCAGACTGTCAAAACTGGAAAGCTCATAAAGGCCATTTTGTCCCACTTAAGGAAACAACCCAGAACAGGACCACAGCCTGGGTTGAGTCATGCCTGGGGCTCTCCAGGCTTCCCGCTCTGGACAGAACCCTCTACTGGATGTGCTCTGTGTTCCAGAGATGACAGGTGGCTTGATGGGTCAGACATCAGAGTTCCCACAGCCAAGGGGATTGATCAGAATCTTCCCAGCCAGGGCCCTTGTAGGAGCTGGGCCTGGAGCCTCAGGATCTGTCCATACAGGGCTTGGGACACCTGGCTTGTGGCTATATTTTAGCCTTTGGATCTTAGGGCAATTCCCACCTCTCCCTCAGGGTTTCAGATTCCTCGTGTCTACAACTTCAAGCTTAGTAAAGATTTCTAGGGTTTCTATAACCTCCGTTTATTTTCAAAGATGTTCATCATGTATGGATCTAAGCCATAAGTAATACTCATAGTAATAACCAGGATTTGTGTGCTTTTGTTCTGCACCAGGCCCTACATTATCTCCTGTAACCATCACAGGACGCCCTTGGATAAGGTGGCTCCCATTGTACGGGTGAGGAGACTCAGGCTCAGAGCAAATCAAGGAGTTTCCCAGGGTCAGGTACCTAGGTCTGTAGAACCCCAAAGCTTCCCAGCCAGTGTCACCAGGAAGGGCTGGAGCAAGAGGGACTCTGATCACGATGCCATGGCAGGGTGGTGCTGAGTCCTGCCCTAGGGACATATGCTCTGGAGGCTGTCATGGGTCCAGGAGGCAATCTCTGCTTAGAGGTACCTCCGCCAGCTCTGCCCCTATAGCAGTGCCCGCTTACCCACAGTGGACCTGGAGGGGAACTGTGGTTATCTCCACATTTTTGAGGAAAGGAAAAGATGCCCAGACAGGATACATGTTAAGTGACAACATGAGTGACTTACCGAGTGCCATTTGGGCATCTAGTGGCTCAGCTGGGACTCACCCAGTCTCTTGGCTTTCAGGCTACGGTCTTTCCCCTGCAGCCAGTGTTTGTAGGAAAAACACTTCTTCAAAGGCCCAGAGAGACCTGGCAGTGACTCTGGAAGCCTTTTGCCATGTTCCTCCCTCTGCTATCACCACCCCACTGGGCAGTGCATACAACCCTTTAAATTATTACCTAAGGAAAATTGATTCCCCACAAACAAAACAACCATCATGTCTTCATTTGTGCTAAGTCCACTGGCTCCAGGCAGCAAAAACAAGCCAATGACTCGGTGTTTAGCCAAGCAAAGAAAAAGAAAAGGTGGTTCAAGGTCAGATGCGGCCTCTGAGACCATTTCACATTAACTCTGCCCACCAATCACCTGCTGCCAGAGACAGCACCAGCGCTCGTCGCCCTTGACTGTACTGAGCACGGGGCAAAAGCAACCACTGAGGGCAAGCAGAGTGCTGGCTGAAGCCAGCCACTAATTTGTTGAGTAAATTGGTAGATAGATTATATTTATTGAATGCTCATTTTGTGCAGGCATTGTGCTAGGTTCTAGGAAACTAGTGATGAATAAAATGTAGTCTCTACTCTCCTGGAGCTTATGGGCTGGTGTGTGTGAGCAGATAGATGTTAAATGAAGAATCCCGCAAACAAGTGAGAGGTGGCTGTGCTGAGTACATGGAGTCCAGGCTCAGGGACAGGTATGGGGGTGGTGAAGGCTGAAGTTGATTCAGAATTCTGAAGGTTGGCAGCATAAATAGGGTAACTGGCAAAGCTGCGAATACTTCTCAGGTCTCATCCTTGGCATCTGTGTAACATTTGGCAACATCGGCCTCTGGTCTTTTTAGAGTCTTTGCCTCCTCTGTTTCCTAACAGAGTGTCTTCCCTGACTTCCCTCCTGTCTCTCTCTGAATGCTTCTTCTCAGGCTCCTTAGTTGATGTATATCCTGTGAATCTTCCTCAGAGTTCTCCTCTCTTACTAGGAGCATTCCTGCAGAAATCACATTTACTCACAGCCTTAAGTGTCTCTGTCCTGGCCCCTTCAGCTCCCACCTGCAGGCCAGCTCTTCCTACGGGCTTCAGAAGCATGCTCACCACGGCCTCCTGAATGCCTCTATATGTGGCATCTCAAACTCAACATGTCCTCAACTGGTACAGTTTAAAGAACTACCTGGCTCAGAGTCTCCCCCCACTACTTAGTAGCTGTGTGAACCTGGAGGAGCTCTTGAAACCCCTGGAGGTTTGGGTTCATCATCTGAACCCAATCTGATCTGAAATGAGGATAGCACACCAACCTCATCAGCAGTTGCAGGGGCTAAATGAGATAATGTTACACAATGTCCAGCCCAGCCCCTGGAACAAACTAGACACTCAGTAAGTGCTGCCTTGCCCAAAACCTGGGTCAGCCTTGCCTCTTCCTTTTTATTCACTCTTTATACCTATTTCTTCACTGAATCTTGTCAATTCTAACTCATAAACATCCCTTGAATTCATTCTCTTCCTGCATCCCCTCTGCCACTGCCCTAACCCAGGCCCTTCTGACTGATCTTTCTACTTTCAGAGAACTCTCTACTGAAAACCCCCTAGTGGCCTGTTGTCTGTACCATAGAGTTCAGATTTTTTTTACCAAGCCATGTAGGGCATGTGCAGACTGGCTCACTTACCTGCCCAGAGACCTTCTGTCGCTTCCCTGTGTCCTAGTATTACTCAAGGCACTATGCCTTTGCACAGTGGTAAATTATACATTGTACAGCTATCTGACAGGCTTGAGTGGCCCTCACACTCCCCCTTGCCTTCCTTCTTAGCTGGCTATTTTTGCAGATAATGTCAGGCTACAGCCCCTGCGTCCTCCCATCTGGTAACCTGGGCATTCTCTCCTCTGTGCTTTTGCTATAACCATCAATGACTTCCGTGAGGACATTCTCACAGCATCAGTGCCTCCATGTCCTTGGCAGGGGGTCTGTCTTTTCCCCCAGGGAAGACACAGTATCTAGCCCAGGCGTCCTCAAACTATGGCCTGTTTATCCAGCCCACCAGGTGTTTTTGCTGCAGCTTCCTGTCCTGCTTAGCAGCCAATTTGTCCTGGGGCCCACAGTCCGGCCCTCCAGTGGTTTGAGGGACAGTGATCCCCTGT